TATTAAAGTATCGACACTTTCAATCCAATATCTATTTACCGGTTTTGTCATTTTGAGACCGGTTTTATCATATTTTTACATGTTATATTGTTCTGGATGGATATATTTTCATAAAGTGTCAACACTTTTTAAGCGCTATAACTTCTTATCTTTTAAATTCAGAAAGTGTCGATACTTATATTAAATTATCGACACTTTCAACATATCCGGTAACTTTTTCCGGTTTTGTCATTTTTGAGACCTATTTTATCATATTTTTACCTGTTATATTGGTAAGGATCGATACATTTTCATAAAGTGTCGACACTTTTAGGCGCTATAACTTCTTCTCTTTTAAATTCAGAAAGTGTCGATACTAATATTAAATTATCGACACTTTCAATATATCCGGTAGCGTTTTATTGGTTTTGTCAATTTTGAGACCTTTTTTATCATATTTTTACATGTTATATTGTTATGGATCGATACATTTTCATAAAGTGTCGACACTTTTTAGGCGCTATAACTTCTTCTCTTTTAAATTCAGAAAGTGTCGATACTTATATTAAATTATCGACACTTTTAACATATCCGGTAACTTTTTCCGGTTTTGTCATTTTTGAGACATGTTTTATCATATTTTTACCTATTATATTGTTGTGGATCGATATTTTTTTTAAAGTATCGACACTTTATAGGCGCTATAACTTATTCTCTTTTAAATTCAGAAAGTTTCGATACTTATATTAAATTATCGACACTTTCAATATATCCGGTAGCGTTTTACTTGTTTTGTCAATTTTGAGACATGTTTTATCATATTTTTACCTGTTATATTATTATGGATCGATACATTTTCATAAAGTGTCGACACTTTTTAGACGTTATAACTTCTTCTCTTTTAAATTCTGAAAGTGTCGATACTTATATTAAATTATCGACACTTTTAACATATCCGGTAACTTTTTTCGGTTTTGTCATTTTTTAGACCTGTTTTATCATATTTTTACCTGTTATATTGTTGTGGAAAAATATATTTTTTAAAAGTATCGACACTTTATAGGCGCTATAACTTCTTCTCTTTTAAATTCAGAAAGTTTCGATACTTATATTAAATTATCGGCACTTTCAATATCCGGTAGCGTTTACTGGTTTTGTCAATTTTGAGACCTGTTTTATCATATTTTGACCTGTTATATTGTTATGGATCAATACATTTTCATAAAGTGTCGACACTTTTTAAGCGCAATAACTTTTTCTCTTTTAAATTCAGAAAGTGTCGATAGTTATATTAAATTATCGACACTTTTAACATATCCGATAACTTTTTCCGGTTTTGTCATTTTTGAGACATGTTTTTATCATATTTTTACATGTTATATTGGTAAGGATCGATACTTTTCATAAAGTGTCGACACTTTTTAGGCGCTATAACTTCTTTTTTTAATTCAGAAAGTTTCGATACTTATATTAAATTATCGACACTCGACATATATCCGGTAGTGTTTTACGGTTTTTGTCATTGGGAGCGGTTTTCATATTTGTACCTTAATATTGCTATGGGTCGATCCATTTTTCATTTGTATCGACACAAACCGACAAGCTAAGTTTACCAGTTGTCAAATTTTTTAATATTTCTTCATGATTTAGACCTATTACATTATTATTACTCAACATTTCCGGTAGCGCTAAACCGAATATTATAAATATATTATAATGTATCCGATAATGTCGTATATTAGCCCGCCTTTCCGGAGACAATCCCTAGACTTCTACCTTAAACTCTAGAATTATGTTGATCTCTTTTTGATTTTGACTTTAGAATATGGTCCCAACTTTGTTGTCTAGCTTCACCAGGTATATGTGAAGCTTTTGACTTGTAGAATTTTTTGTGTATATAATATAGTCAACAAATATGATTAAATTTAGAATGTCATGACTATTATCTTTTGTAAGTCTGAACATTATTGTTACTTTTGATGATTAATGTTATACTTATTTTTGTTCTGTAATCTAAACAAAGAACATAAGCTTATCTCTTATCCTTCAGTTTGCACTTTTACTTTTCATTTTGACTTTAGAACATTGTTGTTGTTTCCTATTATTTCTCATAAATGTTGCATCAGAATACCATATGTTTTGTATTTTTCTAGTCATGTCTGTAAAATAAAATGAATCTACTGTGTTGTAATGAAAAGGTCTTACAAAGTTAATAGGTTACTGTTCGATATTGGATGCTGAGTTATGGGGTATTTATAAAAGTTTGAAGCTTCCATGGAAATTCAGCTCCATACTTGCCTTTATTTTCCTTTATTTCCCCATTTCAGGTCTAGGACTCCAATATGGGACAAAATAATTGGCAGTTCAGACAGCTACCATAGAACCTTCCAAGTACGCGGATACCTGCAATGAGATCCAAAGCGTTCAGCAAGAGCCAACAAAAACGTAGTCTTTCTTGAGCTTGGAGGACCCAAAGTAGCGTTAGTATGCATTATTAAATTAATAAACGATAACACTTCAAACATAATTAAAACCCCTTTCGAGAAATAAGAATATAAGCATTATATGTGCTTTTAAAAAGGAATTAATTGTTACCTCGGTCATGTTAAAAATAAAATTGGGAATGGTTGCTAATGCTCTGCTCTAAACATGAATAAAAGATTCAACAGTTAGATTTTCGAATCGAACTTCAATCTTTGAGAATTTTAAATTCGCTCTGCAACACCACAAACTAGAGCAAATTTTAAATAATAATGAAGACCACTCTATGGGAGAATAATAATAACAACTCAACCTAGAAATTCAAAATAAAATGTTGAAATTATTGAATGAATAAATATAAATTTTAGTTTTTGTTCTGATTTAAAAAAAATGTTTAAATTATAAAATTTAGCTTTTGTTCTCTTTAGGAGTAAAATGGTTCATCTATTAAAATTTTCATATGCTTATTTAGTTAAATTTTGATGTAAAATTTTAATATATTTTTAGGTAAATAATGTAAAAATAATATTTATAATTAAATATATGATATATTTACTCTTTTATTCTATCCATTTATCTTTTAAATTTTATAAAAAATTATATATAATTTTTATTAAAAAGTATATAAATTTAAAATAATAAAGTAATATATTTTTAATGATTTTTTATATAAATATTTTCATTTAAATATTTAGAATTCCACTTGTTAACACATATAGCACAAGGACAATTTGGTAAAATATACGTTTCAGTAATCTCATATTCCTTCAATCAAATATTGTAATCATACATTCATACCAAACAAACCAAATACAGTAATGTAACATTATCAGTAATATATCAAGTAATGTTATATTCCAATAATAGATAATATTATATTCTATGAACCAAACTCAACCTCTATATCAATTAAGCTAACCTTGTAGAACAAAAAAGGTGGAATTTTGGCAACAGTGTCGGGATTCCAAGGCACCAACTTTATTGGTTTCCACTTTTCAGCATTTGAAGAATGCATGGAAGTCCTGCCTGTTGTGATTGAAGGATTAGGTTAGGTGGACAGATATGTAGAGCCGTGGATGATGGGATATTACTATTTTTTTTATTGAAAAAGACTAGGTGCCTGCTATCACAAGTTTAACCTAATGTGGGAATTGAATAGCATAACAAGCCTGCAACTCGGATTTATCCTATCCATTCATACAGGTTAGCTGAAAAGTTGAAACCAAATTTGGGTTTATTCGCCTTCTGTTCTACAGACAAGCTCTGAGAATTGCGAGGTTCCCCTAGCTTGAATCCAAATTCGAGTTTATTTATTTAATCGTTCATTGTTTTTAAAATATTAAAAATACTCTTTAGATACTTCTCTACATTGGAGAATTTCTCCAAAGTAGAGAGAAATCAGCTATCCAACCCTGCGTCAGATACATCGCTACAGTAGAGATTTGCTACATTTAGCGTGATACTGTAACTTGAGTTACATTTTGTTTTTTTTAATTAAAGTGTACTAAATTATAAAATAAATAAAAATATATTAAAATTAGATAAATAATTATATTATTTTTTAAATAATTTTTTTTGGATTTTTTGTATTTTATATAATTTTTTATATTTATAAAATTAATATTATAACAATTAAATATTATAAATAAAGTAAAATTAATGATAATATAGAGATAACGTTAAAAATAAATTATTGTTTTATTTATAGAATAAAGATAGAAATATTTTAAAATATGTTCTAGAGTAAAAATGAGAACGGGAGATTAACTTATAGTGCGGAGAGATGAAGCACCCAGAGTATATAATAATCTGAAATGAAAGGCAACTGCTTCGTCTCTTTGTAATTTATAATGTCTGGCAAGGCCAAAGAGCCTACTGCACAAGGTTGCCTCCAACAAGTGAAACATCAGATAAGGGCAGGCAGACTGGCAGGTACCGACTACAATAACAACACATAAGAAAGCATCATCCCGTTTGATTTTCCTGTTACTTTTATCAAAGCTAATATCTTTCTCTATCTAGAAAAAAGAAGAAGATTGGTTTCATTTTTCTCTCTCTGCTCGGGGGGAAAACATGGAAACTACACGCACCCTCTTCAAAAACACCCAACTCTCTCTTTCTTCTTCAATGGCCCAGCTGGACCAAAATTTATGTACAAGGAAAAACAAAAAAGAAAAGAAAGATAGAGAGAGAACGGTGAAAGAAAGCAAGATGAGATATAGATGCATTCAAAATGTCCTCCAAATCAATACCACCTCACAAATCTCTGTCTTTACCGGAAATACCCTTCTGTAATCCCACCCCAAAAGATTCATCTCATTTCTCTCAAACTCTCAAAAGAACCATTTTTATTTCTACCGAGTTATGTGGGCTTCTTTGGGATTCCATTGTTTCGGTCAGAGTTTTCACAGAGAAAAAGGGAGACGAGAACCCCTCTACATCTTCTCTTGTCTCGAGCTCTATATTATCTTTTCTTCCTTCTCGTTAAATACTCTTCTTTCTCCCCTGTGTTCCTTTCTCTTCCTCCGTATTCCCTTCTGTCTTGGTTTTTCTCTCTCTTTATCTCACCGCTGCGATCTGAAACATGAAGAAGATGAAAGGAATTGTTGCTGCTGCTGCTGCTGTTGCTGTTAAGGAGTATTTTCCTTATGATTTGTATGAGGATCAAAGGGCACGGTTCAGGTATCCAAACCATATGGAAGAGTTTGAAGACTTGCACAAGGTAATGACCTTTTTGCAGATTGTTTAGATTTTTAGTTACTTACAGTCAGATTTTTATTAGATCCCGGTGTTTATAATCCTCTGGGTTTTCTTGATTTATGCTATTTGTCTTCAATCTTTTGGTTGATAATAAGAAGACACCTTTGTTTGGATCTTATGTTTTGGTTTCGAATTGATAAAGATCTTGCCTTGGACTAGCTGGTAAATAACCCTATCTTTTGTTTGTGTTTGGTGGAATGCCTTTGTTTATGTTTTTAATGACCTAAAGATATGAGGAAATGAGAAGTTTTGGTTGTTGTGTGTTAATATTTCCCGTTCGTAATGAACACGATGAAGTTCTTCCCTTTCTTCTTAAATTTTCTGTCCTGTTTGCCAGTAATACTAATCTACATTTGTTATTTATAATCAACTGTGTAGCTCATCTTTTAGTCTTTTAATCCAGTAGCTTTCGCAGGTTTGATTTATCAAGGTGACTCTGTAATGTTATTGCTTTATAGCGAGGCTTATTATACGATCATCGATTGTTTTTCCACCAAAATCCTTTAGTCTTCTGTGGAGAAACTTTTAGTAGTCAAGAATTGTCATGGGCTCCACAAACTACAAAACAAGAGCAATTATCATAACCCACTCCCAACTAATATTAGGTGCTTTGTGTTCCTTCACCTTCAGGAAACGGAGTCAATGAGAAAGAAATTGCAGACGAAAGAGAAAAGATCGACCCTGTCGGCTGAAGTCAGTATGATGTTGTTCCTACATAACTTGTATGATTTACATACTTTCAGAATCACGGTTATTGATAAAGAGTTGAAATTTTCTGTTGTTAGGTTTTTGAAACGGAGGCACAAGTTCTTGATACAATACCAATCTTCGAACAGCCTGGAAGAAAGACATTTTTTTGCAGCCACAGAACAAAGTAAATAAAAATATGAAGGCAAAGAAACAACAGGAGGGGGCTTTGCTAAGCCGAGCTATGGGTTTCGATTTGAACCCGAAGAGAAAGACGAACAGTGTAAAGGGCACCAGTTCCACTCGGCCTTCCTTGTGTTTGACTTAAAGCAGAAGCAGCAGAAGAGTTTGGTGGAAAGGAGGATCCTACTTTGCGAAGTATTATCAGTTCTCGACTTAAACCAAAAGGAAAGGCTTTACAGTGGAAAAGATGCCACTTCCGAAGCATGAAACCGACTTTGACTTGACCAGATTTCGGTAATCCATTGTTTTCATAAAAAATTGCTTGCTATATAATCTTTTATCATGATTAATGTCTCCAAAATCTCCTTGAATACACAGAGAGAGGAGGAAGAACTACAAGCTCAACTAATTCAGTGAGAATAGAGGAACTTAAGAAGAGTAAATCAGAATAGGAAGTGAGGAGCAGCACAATGATATTAAAATATCAGCCTGCAGGAACACTGGAAATGGGGCAAATAGAACCGGGAAAGAAAAGATCTCATGGCAAGATCAGGTGGCATTGAGGGTTTAAGTCTCTTGCAATAGAAGTGCTTACTGAGTAGTTTGAGGGACTGGAAATAGTGATTTAGCTTGCCTCCCTTTTTTTAATTTTCTTATGTGGTTATTTTCTTCATTTATCTCGTGTAAAGAAATATAGTTGCATCTATTGGATATAAAGATAAATAGTTTACTTGCATCATGATCCATGGATTCCGCACGTCTTTGGTTGGTCAGAGTAATCGAGAAGCAAAATCCGAATCTTTCAATTCTTTTTTGTAAATGATGTTGAAATGTTACACGAATTCTGTTCTCAAGTTGCATTTGCTAAGCAATGTAAAGGTACCGACCATGCTCGTCTTGGCACATAGAAGGGGTATTTGGAGTATGCTTGAAGTCGTCACTTTAGAAGAGAAGTGAATGTGAAAGTTAAACAATTCATGGTGCTTGAAGTTGTCACTTTAGATCAGAAGTGAATGTGAAAGTTAAGCAATTCAGAGTGGATTGAACGTCAAGCAATCTAATAATCATTGATTACTGGAAGGAAAATTGTAAAGGTACCGACCATGCTCAGTCTTGGCACATAGAATGGGGTATTTGGAGTATGCTTGAAGTCGTCACTTTAGAAGAGAAGTGAATGTGAAAGTTAAACAATTCATGGTGCTTGAAGTTGTCACTTTAGATCAGAAGTGAATGTGAAAGTTAAGCAATTCAGAGTGGATTGAACGTCAAGCAATCTAATAATCATTGATTACTGGAAGGAAAATGATTTAGCCAATATATATCGGTTTGGCACTTCCAAAGAGAAATTTTAGTCAAAATGACAAATTTTTCTCATTACTACGACTGTGGACACTGTCTTGTGATCACATTTGCTTCCGTGCATTGATATTGATTCCGAATTTTGTCTTACTTTATATCAATTAATATATGTTGGTATAAAGTTAAGTTTTCGAGTTTGATATTTATAAATTTTAATTTTTTTATATCATCTCATCTCTCGGGATGTATGTACGTTATTAATGGTTAAGAAATATTATCTTGTAATTGTTTAAAATTATTCTAAAAATAAATAAATTTTTGGTGTTATAATGCATATATTTTAAAATTTTTAATCTCATTTAAGAAAACTATTACAGTAAATAAAAATTTGATTTAACTGTAAATTTAAATTTTGATAACTATATTTAAGTTCTGTTTATTAGGGGTGTTAGTTTGGTTAATTTGCTTATCGATCGAATCAAATAATCATTAACCGAATTATTCAGATTTTTTTTCTTTAACCATTAATATATATTATGTTCGGTTAACTGGATGAATCAAAATTTATAAATAACATGTAAGTAATATATATTATGTATTAAATATTTAATATTTTCAGTTAATTCAATCAGTTAATTCAATTAGAATTGAAATTTAAAGCTAAATAATATATATATAATATATTAAATATTTAATATTTTCAGTTAATTTGGTTAATTAATCGATTTCGGACCAAAATAATTGATAACTGAAGTTAAAAAAATCATTGATTATTAATCGATCGAACCTAAAATTAATCGAAACACATTCGATTAACCGAAAAAATACGATTCGATTGAATAGTCCAATTTTAACCGAATTATGAGCATCCCTACTCTTTATGTGGGAGTGTGTATAATTATTAAAATATCAAAAATTAATTGAAATATATGATCAAGATTGAAAATAAAGTTAATATATGATTAGCATATAAAACTATATTTCATATATGTTTAAGAAATATATGATGATTAAATTAAAATTATTTATTTTTATGAAAATAATAATAACTTATAAAATTTCTATCATAATTATTTATTCCATGATATTATTTTCTGATAAAAACAATAAATTTTGCAGCAATGATAGTATGATACATTGCCTGGCGCTTTTCTTTGAAATTACTATTTTGCCCAATTCGTTATCCGAAAGTTCTCGAACTCTGTCCTTTTACATTTTACGGCAGAGGGAAACATTGCCTGGCGCTCACCAAAACTATCGTTCTAACATGGGGTGCAAAGAAGGAACCGGGGAGACAGATGCTGAGTCTGGACTCATCTCTGATTGGCCCGAGTTAACCCAGGAGTGCCTCCTCAACATCCTTTCCCGACTCACTTTCGAACACCGATGGACCGGTCCTATGTTTGTCTGCAAAACTTGGCTCAACGCCTGCAAGGATCCCTCTCTCAACTCCGTCTTCGATCTCGAAACTCGCTTCGATTCCTCCATCGAGTCAACCCGCTGGTGGACCCCCGAGTTCGAAAGAAGAATTGACGCCATGCTCCGATCGGTTATCACCTGGAGCAACGGCTATCTAACCGAGATCTTTACCCGTCACTGCTCCGATCCCTCTCTCTCAATTTCGTCGCTCAGATGTATCTTATCTGCGACAACGTTTCAAAAATTTACATTTTTTACTCAAATTTCCGTTATTGATTTTCATTTTTTTCCAGCTGTCCAAATCTCCAAGTTCTTTCCATAAAGAGCTGTCCTCGTGCAACCGATGCGTCGATGGCTCAAATAGCGTATCATTGTCGGAACCTCAAGCAGCTCGACATCAGTTACTGCTGCAAAATCTCGCACGAATCTCTAGCGTTAATTGGTCGGAATTGTTCCAATTTGAAGATCCTAAAACGGAACCTGATGAATTGGTTAGACCCATCGCAACATGAGGGAGTTGTTCCTCCTGAGTATCTGAACGCTTGTCCACAAGATGGAGATACTGAGGCAGCTGTTATTGGGAAACTTATGCCTCAATTGGTACATCTTGAAATTAGATTCTCGAAATTGTCAGCTAAAGGACTTGGTTCCATTTGTGAAGGGTGTTTGAAACTCGAGTATCTTGATCTGTCTGGTTGTGCTAACTTGACCAGTCGGGACATCCTGAATGCGTCAAATTTGAAGGATTTGAAGGAAGTGAAGAAACCGAACTTTTACATACCCAGGTCAGTTTTTCACACGGAGAGATATGGTCACTGGAGGTTGTATGATGAGAGGTTTCAAACTGATGTTTTTAGAATCTAGAAGGAAAAAGGAACTTATCTCTTTTTCTTGGCTTTACAATTTGTGTGTTAAGGTGCTATGAATTATCTATTCATGTCTGCTTGTATGGTTTTCCGTCTGCTCAGTTTGCTATGTAGCACTTATTTTCCCTACTAACTTAAATATGTTTAGCTACATTAGGTTAAATAAACAATATTCAAACAAAAAAGTTCAGTTAAAGAAACCGAAATAGAAGATTTATAGGTCATATACATTGATGGAGGGAACAAACAACTAATAATAAGCCTTTATTTTTTTCAAATGACATGAAGCCTTCATATAGATGTTTCTCGAAAAGTTTCATATGAGAAGTCTCTAGGCATTCTACCACTGATGAGATCCCAAAACCGGTTGAACTTGGTAATAGGTTTATTTCCCCTTCAAGGACTATGTTCCTCTTCCAATTGATGATATGTAGGTTTGGACCCTGGAAAGTATCTGGTCCTCTCCTGGCAGCGGTTAAATTTGGCAGTGTTTGTAGGTAGTCAATAGCTGATCTTAGATATTAATTGTCCATCCTTTGCAATGCCCCGTGAACTCGCTCTGGGGTATTTATGAATGGTTCTGACTGATGATCTCCAGATAGAATAATTAAAGAAGCCTTGAAGACTGCATTGTCCAGATAGCTTGCTGGGAGGGGAAAACGTAATCTGGGACGTCCATTGTTTGGCATGTATAACTTGCTTGGTTGATCATATAAGGGGCCTCAAGCTCTACTTGCACAACGCCATGTATATGCAATTAGAATGGCGTAGCTGTTGTACTTGGTTTTGTTTTCATTTTTGTATGACTTGGCTTTTAGGTTATTAAGTTGATTTTGTGTGATCTTAAAAACGGATAGGGATGAGTGTTTATGATTAGGGCCAAGTGATGGCATAGAGGTGATTAAGGGAGGAGATGGGTCATATTCGATATGATGAAATCTAGGGGTTGGTGGCACTCTTGCTCGGAGAAGGGTTCGGTCAACTAATCTGGGACAAGCCTCATGCGGTCCTGCCATTTCAGACTAACTATTGATGAAATGAAAGGTTGTTATGCCATCCGTCAAAGGTGTGGTGAGTTTCCACTCCCAATTCCATGGGAGACTCCACCGCATTTGAAAGTCGTTACCTAGCAAAATATGCACTCATTAAACTTTTAAGCTTTATAGATTTACAATTTCCTATCAACCAAACTATACATACAATTAAGCTTTTTGAAGCAACATAGATTAACTTCTTAGGCTTGTCCTTGATCTCCGACTTCAAGTAAAAGTTTATAATTGTTGTTCAGTAAACACTTACCTGGGCCATAAAAAGTAGATAAGAACTGGTACCTACAGAGTAATCAACTGTGGGAACCAGTTTCGTAGTTTTGGACTTGGAGGATAACAACCAGGATCATCTGTTGCCCATGTAATTCCAGCTTCTATACACGGAACTCCCTCTGCATGGCATATTATCTTGAATCTACCATTTTCATTGCATCTCAACCTACCAGATCCCAACCCTAGAATAGAAGGCTACAAGAGTCATGCTTAAAGCCTCCTTAAGCAAATAGGGTTTAAAGAAATCAGGCAAATTATTTGGTTTGTAGAAAAAGAAGAGTTAAGGGACATGAAATGCTGTCATCACCATGTCCAAATTCGAAACCCAGTGTGCTTCTGTTGAGCAGGGGATATCATGCTCGATCCCTTAACAGTAACCTCCATCTCTTCCATGAACTGCATTGATGTTAGAGATCTCTTTTTTTATAGAATAGGGAGACCTCATTAAAAAATAGGGAGACCTCATTAAAAAACCCCTTCGTACTCAACGAAATATGAAAGTTTCGTCGAGCATTGGAAGGAGGAAATGAGTGTCTCATAAATAGGGAGACCTCATTAAAAAATAGGGAGACCTCATTAAAAAACCCCTTCGTACTCAACGAAATATGAAAGTTTCGTCGAGCATTGGAAGGAGGAAATGAGTGTCTCATAATATTAAACCATTGAGAATTACAACTTAGATTACAACAACAAAACCAAACAAAACAAAAAACCCCCTAACCATGCAAAATAACAACCCCTCTCATCCAATGCCTTCTTTAGCCAACTTATCCGCCTCCCAATTGACCCCTCTAGGAATATGTCTGATCATCACAGCTTTATCCCTAATAAACTCTAAAATTCCATTCAACAACAAACACAACTGATTGTGACAACCCCCAAATTCTTAATCCAATTAACCACAACAAGGCTATCACACTCAACAATAAGTCTTCCTTTGCCACTCCATTGTGAGTCAAAGAAAAGATTCAAACCCTTAATAATGGCCAACATTTCAGCAGCTGTAGGAGGTCCTTTACCAACAACCTCAGAGAATGATGTAAAAGTATAACACCTTGAATCTTTAATAATCCCTCCTATGCCACCTTTCATCCAATCATCCGTGACAGCACCATCCACATTTAATTTGAAGAAACCTTCCAGGGGTAGAACCCACTAAACCCGATTGATCACTCTACTTCCTTTACTTCCACATCTATCCGCCAGCGAGGGATCCCCCATAAGACAATCAAAGAACCCCGAAAAGTCTTTATATTTAGCAGTGTACCATGTCACCAGTCTGTATCTAGCTAGGAAAAACAGATTGATCTGGTCCAAATACCCACCTTCAAACACTATATTGTTCCTATACTTCCAAATAGACCACAAAACAACCCCGTGAATATGATTTCAGAACCAATCCTTACAAGTTATGATTTCAGAACCAATCCTTACCAAACTTGTAGGAAAGAATCAGGGTCAAAATGTTAACATGATTAAACATTCCAAATTCTTAAAAATCTACACCACAACCGCCATGAAACATGACATGTAAAAAATAGATGTGATATGTTTCTGGAAGCAACCCACAAAATGGGCACAACGAATCAACTAAACTTGGGGCATTTCTCTTCACTAACTCGCACTTTACTGCTAACTTTTTGTTTAAGACCTGCCATAGGAAAGATTCTACCCTCGGAGGAACCAGTCCATTCCAAACCATCGGACTCCAAACTTGTTCAACTCCCACTGTCTCGAACCAATTCTTAAAACGTGACTTAACCGAATATACCCCATCTCCACTACCTTTCCATAATAAACAATCCATACGATTATTAATAACATTAACAGTATTAAATAATGACCGACATAAAATCAATCCATATATCCACTTCCCAATCTGCGAAATTTCGCCTCCATGTTATATTCCAACTCCAATTTCCAGAGCTAAAGAAACCAAATTCTGATATTTTCCCCACTTTATCACTGATAATGCATACAATCTAGGAACCTTACTTAAGGGACACCCTCTCAATCCAAACATCATGCCAAAATAAAAAAGATTTCCCATCTCCTACATTCAAAACTAATTTATTCCGAGCTGCCTCACCAAATGAATCTATAACCATCCAACTTTGGGGCAACATTCTTCCATAACCAAGAAGCTTGAGTTGGAACCTCCTTCAACAAAATCATTAATATTCAATTTATATTTACAACAGATCAGTTGTTTACATCCTGACTTTTCAGCAGAAAATTTCCAAATCCATTTGCCTATAAGGCTCTATTAACAAGCTGTAGATTAGGAAGTCCCAGCCCCCACAATTCTTAGGCAACACACCGCGATCACTTCACCCAATGTATTTTTTCCTCTCACTCGACCCTCCCCATAGAAATCTTGCCATAATTGAATTTAAAATTCTCAAAACCGAGGTTGGAATTTTAAAGATGGACAAAAAATAAATAGTTAGAGAGCTCAAAACTGACTTAACAAGCACGGTTCTGCCAACCAACGAAAGTGACGAAGCCTTCCAACCGGACAATTTAGCCTTAAATCTGCTCACACTGGTTCCACAAGACTGCTGAATTTCTCTTAGCACCTAGAGGAATACCCAAATAATCGGATGGGAAAGAACCTACTGAACAACCAACAGAATCAGCCCATTCCTTTAACACCCCCTCCTCCACATTAATCCCAAAAATCTTACTTTTAACAAGATTTATCTCGAGACCCGATAATAATTCAAAAATCAACAATACCCTCCTAACATTCTTTAATTGGTTGATCGAAGTTCCACAAAATACCAAAAGATCATCAGCAAATTGTAAATGGGAAAGATTAAAACTTGTCCATGATTTCCTATGGAAAAACCAGAAAACAACCCCAAATCTACTGCTTTTGATAGCATACGGCTAAGAAGTTCTCCCACCAAATTAAAAAGCAGGGGTGATAGGGAACACCCTTGACGAAGACCTTTTGAAATTTTAAATTCCACGTGGGTGAACCATTTACAATAACAGAAACCGAAGCAGTTGAAATACACTATCGAATACATGAAATCCACTTTTCTCCAAACCCTATTAGCTCCATGACCTTGATAAGCAAAGAGTAGTCAACCAAAGAGTAGTCAACCGAATCATAAGCCTTCCTAAAATCAACTTTGAATGCCACACCGGCTAACCCTTTTTTTTCTCCAATAATCATCCCCTCATTAGCCATGAAAGAACAATCCAAAATTTGTCTTCCCGGAATAAACGCGAACTGTGAAGACCCAATTAAAAACTCCATGCACTCTCTAAGTCTTCTAGCTAATGTCTTCGATAATATTTTATAAAGACCCCGCACGAGACTAATGGGACAAAAATCATCAATGCATTCAGGAACCAATTTCTTAGGAATCAACATAATAAAAGAATGATTAATCCCTCTCTCCCATTGTTTTCCATTGAAAAAGTCCATGCAAAATCTCATTACATCTTCCTTAATATAAGGCCAATTTTTTTTAAAGAACCCCAAAGTCATCCCTTCCAGCCCAAGGGCTTTATTCGGATCCGCCTCAGACACAATGCCCCAAATTTCCTCCTCTGAAAATTCCAATTCCAGCTTCTGAGCCAAATCTAGACCAATCTTAACAAAATCCAATTTAACCTCCTCTGCCTCTAACGTATTGCTTGAATTATAAACCTATTTAAAATGGTCCTGAATATGTGCTTTAATTTCTTCAGGATTCGAACATTCCCCCCATTAATCTTCAAGGAAAGAATATAATTTACCCTACCCCTGTTTGCTGCACATTGATGGAAGAACTTAGAATTACGATCACCTTCCAAAAAACATTTACACCTCGATTTCTGATGCCATATTCATTCCTCTCTTTGGTAAAGCTTCCATAATTCCTTCTTTGCTCTAACAATCCGATCGAAATCCATCGAATTTGCACTCTTCTGCCTCGCCAAATCCATTTCATGTATTGAAATTTCTAACTCTGTTATTCCTTTTGATAGTCCACAATGCTGATTTCCAGACCAATCTTTAACAGCAGCCTTAATCTGTTTCAGTAACCAGAAAATTCCTCTGCGCCTCTTCCTCCTCTTCAATTGTCCAAGTTTAACTTTTATCATCTCCTGGAAGCTAACGTCCTCCAACAAATAATTGAATAACTTAAAAGGCCGAGGACCCCAATCAAACGAAACATTATACATATATATATATTTAATCTCAATGCTACAACAGCTAACCGAAATCCGACCCAAAAATTATACATCATCTACCCGACCCGAACCCGATTCGAAAAAATGTACACCATCCACCCGACCCGACCTTTTGAGATAAAATCCGAACCCGACCCAACTCGACCCGAAATAATATATTTATTAATAAATATTATTTTTATTCAATAAAAATAGGGATTTAATTGAAAAAATAATATATATATATGGGCATTATTGTAATTATCCCTAAATATAAAGGTAAAATTATATGTTTTTCTCAGATTGGGTCGAGCTTTTTTCACCTTAAACCCGAATCCGACCAGAATGCAACCTCTAAAAAGGCCAACTTGAACCATTTAAAAAAAATCCGACCTGATTTGGTCGGGTCGGAACCCGACGAATTTGGGTCCCATGCCCAACCGTAAACCTAACCGTCCATTTAACTGTAGTTGTAAAAGGGCAGCACAATCGCGTTAGGATTCGATTCATGGTAGAAAAAAGGGTAACCAAATATATAAAAGGACAATCATGGTGGTGGAAACCGTGATGAAACCGTTCTTTTCTTCAACTCTTGTAAGCAACAATAATAAGTTGTTTGTGACCTACCAGCTAGGGTTTGCATACGAAAAAGCTGTGCCATATTTTTAACCGGCAAAGGTTTCTTTTCCAAGTAGAGCCTACAAAAGAATCATTGCACAAGAGAAAGAAATAACACATCCCTTTTTCCACAAAATTTATTTTTGAAATGGAAGAATCATCTTAACAGGTGGCTTCCACTGCTGGCTGAACCCGATGGTGAAAACACATCTAATGTAGCATCCACAAAAGGTTAGAGTTAAGCTGTTACATGGAGTGTTTAGGATGATATTCAGTGCTTCAAACTAGAAATAGGGATTTCAGGTGGTAAGATTTGAATGAGGAGGATTCAAACGAAAATTTTTATTTGAAACATAAGATTTATTGGTCACACATGATGATAAAGAAAACAAACAACCAAATCAAGCCTTCGTATAGATGTTTCTCGAAAACTTTCATATGAGAGGTCTCTAGGCATGTTATAATTGACAAGCTCCCATCACCAGTTGCACTTGATAGTAGGTATATTTGTCCTTCATACAAAATGTCTGCTGGACCTAGGTATATTGGACGACCCCATCGAAAATCTGCATCATGTGTAGGCATTCTCATCCAATCAATGACATTCAGGTTTGGGCACCGGAAAGTTTCCGGACCTTTTCTGGTAGCCATTATATTTGGCAGTGTTTCTAGGTAGTCAAGAGCTGATCTTAGATATTCATTGTCCATCCTTTGCAATCTCCGGATAGAGCAATAAATGAAGCCGTGAATATAACATTGCCCAGGTAACTTGATGGGAGAGGAGGTTGGAGTCTGGGGCGTCCGTTTGTTGGTATGTTTAACTTGGTTGGCTGATCATATAATAGCCCTCGAGCTTTACTTGCACAACGCCATATGTATGCAGCTAGGATAGTGTAGGTGTTGTACTTGGTTCTGTTTTCATGTTTGAATGACTTGGCTTTTAAGATATCAAGTTGGTTTTGTGTGATCGTAAAAACAGATACAGATGAGGATTTAGGATTAGGGCCAAGTGATGACACAAAGTTGATTAAAGGAGGAGGTGGGTCATATTCGACATGATGAAATCTAGGGTTTGGAGGCACTCTTGCTCGGAGAAGGGTTCGGTCGATAAGTGGTGCCGCACTAATTTGGGACAAGCCTCTTGCCATTTCAGCCCAACTATTGATGAATTGAAAGGCTGTCGTGCCATCCATCAAAGTGTGGTGACCTCCGATTCCAAGACAGACTCCCCCGCATTTGAATGTAGTTAGCTAGCAAAACATATACACAAATAAGCTTTTTGAAGCAACATAGATTAACTTGTTAGCTGACCCCTAGTCCAAGTAACAGTTATTACCTACATAAGACAATAGTTTTTCAGATTCTTGCTCAGTGAACACTTACCTGGGCCACAAAAAGAGGGTAAGAACTAGTATCTCCAGAGTAATCAACCGTGGGGATGAATTTCCGCAGTTTTGGGCTGGGCGTAAAGTTGCCAAGATCATCTAGTGCCAATGTAGTTTCAGCTTCTACCCACAAAACTCCCTTTGCGTTGCATATGATTTCGAGTCTACCGTTTTCATTACATCCCATCCTCCCAGCCATAGGATAGAATGGAACAAGAGTCTTGCTTAAAGCCTCCTTAAGCACTTGTGGTTTAAAGAAATCAGACGAACCATTTGGTTTGTAGTAGACCACAGGGACATGATATGTTGGCATCACCATGTCCAAATTTGAAATCCATTGTGTTTCTCTGGGAGTATGTTGAGCAGGATATATCATGCTCGATCCTTTTACTGTAACCTCCACCTCTTGCATGACTGCAGTGATGATGTTAAGAGATCTCCAACGCTAACCTGTTATCTTAGTAAAAGGGAAACCAGTTTCTTATATATTGCTTTGCATCACATGTATTCTGTAATATATATAAAATAAGAGGTCTCCAATTCTCAATTTATTGTCTCTGTCTACTTCGAAATTCAAGCCACATTTATTTTCTAACGGTACATGTTATGTGTTGTTGATATTGTTGTGCATATATGGACCGACCACACACAGTATCTTAAGTTTTTTACTTACCCGCATTAATAGCATATTAAATTCTAGAAACCTAAAAGTTAAGAAAGTTGAAGGGAAAAAACGAATGATAGAAAATCAACTTATTGTATATTACTAGTATATCAAACATTAGGGGAATTAACTGTATATGACGGGAAAAAACGACAATGCTTCATTTGAGAATTTAGATAAATTCTTGAGTTCTCTTAAGTTCAACCGTATAAATTTTAATTTGTTGAGATAAATGTTGATAGTTGGGTCGAAATAAATGATAGCAGTGCAAGATGAATGGTATTTGAAGCTCCACCTCAACAAAAATTGGCATTCCTCTCCCACCACTCCTTTACTCGTAAAACAGTAAATATAATACATAGGAGAATAGGACAGTGAAAATATAATAAATTTCACAATGGACAAACTGGGACTCGGATTAAATGATAGCAGTGCAAGATGAATGGTATTTGAAGCTCCACCTCGATAAACATTGTCATTCCTCTCCCACAACTCCTTTACATGTATAGCAGTATAGGAGAATAGGGCAGTGACAAAAGATAATAAATTTTACAATGGACAAAAGATAAAAAGTTTGGATTAATTTTTTTAATTAATGCGATACTATAATTTTCTAGATGTATTATTTTAAAATTATGTTTAAATTTATGACAAAAAAAGTTAAACATTCGAATTACATCGCTTAATAAAAAATAATTTCATCGTTTGATAATTAAATTTTTGGATCTCAAAAATTATAAATTCTTAATTTTACAAATAGAACCATAGTTAATAAATAATATGTTATAAAATAATTCGATGAATGAAAAAAATTCATAATATTATAATTTTGTAGTTTTAAAAATAATTGTTTCCATATGTTTTTAAAAAATTACAAATTTTCTAATTTCTTTTTGAAATTATTACTTAGAAATTAGTTATAATTGAAGGGAAATAAAATATTTTTCATTAATTTAGCATGTTATTGTTGCGGAATCCCCTAAATAACATTTAACAATCAGCGTTTATTTTTTAGTAAAATCTAAAATTTAATTTTTATTTTATAACTTTTAAAAATCGATGACAAATAAAATTAACTTAAAAAATATAATGATCATTTATGAATTTTACCTTATTTTATATTAGTGGTGTACATTAATATATGCCATTAATAATATATATCGATGTATGACATCCACACTAAACTAATATATATATATAAAGTTAGAATTTCAGTGGCAGAATTAAAGACGGAGGAGGTATATGGTGGTTTGAGCATGATGGACTATATTTTTTGAGTGATTTATTTATTTTTAATTTAATTAGAAAGTCATGATCGATAATTAATAGATGTAAAAGACTATAAATATATTGAAAAAAATAATGAATATATAGATGGATCTGGGGTGATTGAGGATAGTCATTTTCATAAAAGTTTTAATTTTTTTATATAATATAGATTTTTTTTGTTATATTTTCAGTTGATAATTCATTTTTTAATTTGATGAGTTCATTCTTTTTTAAATTTTATAAATTATTCTCTCATTTTAAGTTTGTAACAGTAGTTTTAGACTTCAAGATTTTTAGAAAGAGAGAAAATCACCTTTAATTCATTTTTTTCTTTTTTTTTAAAATTTAATACACAACTAACACTAAGTGTAAATTTTAAACTCAAAAGTGAATTTTTAATTCTAAAGAGAGTATTTTACCTTGCAAATATGTATACATTTAGAAATGTAAAATAAACTCATTAAGTATAAATACTTTTACAATCTAGCCGCTGCTAGTTTCTCACACTTCACTTATTCCCCCAATTGATTTTGCACAACAACCTAGCTCATATTTATTGACCTATCTAACCGACTCGATTTCAATTTATAAGTCAGTACATTTCTCTGATTATTATTTAAATTATTTTAAAATTTAAATTTTTTTTAATTAATTTACAAGATTTCTACACTATATAAATCATGTCATTTTACTTGAATCTTATAGTTAGATTTAACTTTTAGCTGTATTATTATAAGAAAATGTTTTAAGCTTTAGGAAAATTTCTCCTATAAACTATTTGATATACAAAAAGTTGGTCACAGTGTTGAATATAATATATATGTCTAGTTAGCATAAGATGATGTCTACTGCTTTAAATCAGGGATGAAGGAATTTAGGTAATAGAATTTGAATAAATGGCTAGTCCAAACAAAAAGAAAACGTAAGATTTATAAGTTACATATACCCATAGATAGAACAAACAAGAAGTAATGAGGAGTGACGGATATATATTAATATATGTATATTTTTCCTTCATGGACTATGTTTGCAAGGCCCGTGTATATTGGACAGCCCCATCTAAAATCTGCGCTATGCATAGGCAGTCGAATCCAATTGTTTATATTAGGTTTGGATCACGTGGCAGTGCTTCTAGGTAGTCAAGAGCTGATTTTAGATATTCATTCTCCATCCTTTGCAATGCTCCATAAACTCGCTCTACGGTATCTACAGACGGCTCTGACCGGAGATTTCCAGACACAGAAATTGATGAAGCTGTCAAAAACACATTGCCAAAGTAGCTTGACGGGAGGGGAGGATGCAGTCCGTTAATTGGCACGAGTAACTTGGTTGGTTGATCATCTAAGAGGCCTCGACCTTTACTTGTCCAACTCCATATGTATGCAACTAGAATGGCATAGGTGGTGTACTTAGTTTCGTTTTCATTTCTGGATGATTTGGCTTTTAGTAGGATGATTAGGGTTCGATTTTTTTGGTGCAATAAATTATTAATTAATAATTTAATTTTTTTTTATTTTTTATTAAAAAAATTAATATGTTAATAAATTAATAGTAATTACTAATTAATAATTTCACATTATTTATTAAATAAATTAGTAAATATTATTTAGACTTTTTTAATGCAATAATCTTTTAACGAAATTATTAAAAAATTATTAAAAAAATATTAATGGGTTGCTCGTGAATTTATCGAGTCGAGCTCGAGTTAATTCAAATCGAATATTGATCGAGTCAAATTCGAACAACTTATGAGCTGCTCAATTCATTAAACACCCCTATATGTCGTAATGAAACCTAGGGGTCGGTGACACTGTTGCTCGGAGAGGGTTCGGTCAATAAGTGGTGCCATCTTAATTTGGGACAAACCTCTTGTCATTTCAGAACTATTGATGAGATGAAAGGTTGTTCTACCGTCGAGGGCATGACAGTTCCCCGTACTGCCTCGTGGCATTGATTTCTACCAGCCCCGTGACTCACGGTTTGCACATGTCAAATGGATTACGAAACCAAAGTGCCAACTTTTACATGTTCAGAATGTCACCGTATAGTCCATCAACTGGGAATTTGCAACACAAGACGAACATTATTCTAAACTGAATTAAATAAGAACAGCCTTGTATTCCACAAGGTAAATACTGGTTGAAAATGTATTAAACTCATACATTGACAGGATAGTAGAGTCTAAAGATCATGAAGCTGCTTTCCTAGTCAAAGGTAAATAATAGCAAGCACAATATTAGCACACATGATCTATTGACCATGGTGAATTTTGTTGACAATCATTACATCAACCAATCTACCTATGATTCTACAAGTCCAAGTGGCTGTTGGAAATTCCAGCATGCTAATCAAGGACTGCCTTTTTCCCACGCCAACCCATCATGATATACACATAATGCTTATTCTTTTTTCTTTCTGAGTTATGTTTTTTCTTTCTTTCTGGAATCTACATTGCTTGCAAGCTTCCCTTCCTTGGTTTTTCCTGGAACTTGCCTCAATAAATCAAATAAAAAACAGAAGAGGGTGTTCATTAACAAGTATATTACATTATCTTAAATGATTAGCAGTTCAGGTGCACATGTCTTATAAATTTTTTAGGAATCTTTCTCCATCTGGAACACCTTTATTCTTCTACGTATAACATATATTTTAAGTCTTAATATACATTAACTAGGATTGAGCTATACAATTTCCTTATCTAGGAACTAAATATGATCAACCAATTTGAATATTGACAAATAAAACTCACATTTCGTTTCCTTTACGTAGTCGCTCAGCATGTCTTCCATTAATGGTGAAGCAGTGATCCAGTACCAAGTACCAACAATAGCTCCAGATCCATCACCAAATAAAAGTAACTGCCAAGCAATACCCTTTAAAGAATGCAAACGGTAGCCTACAAAGTTTGTTTCTCATACAAACATGTCTATAAGTGGATTCAATCTTCAAACTTTCAAGGATCGAACTCGTGTATATGAAACTTATAGATTTCAGAGTCCAAGACATAGTACTGTACATTCTCTCCTAAGCTGGCACAAGGTAAAACGCATCATAGTAGAAAAACAATCAAATTTATAAGGAAAAACAATCAAACGAAAAAAAGCAATTTATAGTCATTGTTTCTCATTGAGGAGCTCTTGGTTCAATATCATTGAGTAGGCCAACAATCTGTTGCATGCTCGGTCGCTTGGTAGGAAGATCAGCAGTGCACAGATATCCGATCTTGAGGGCCTCCTCCATTTGGTGATCCAGACCTGTAACATGGATTTTAGGATCGATAGCTTTTGATCCTTGATTCATTCTCATCAATCGTCTAAACCAGCTCACTAAATTTGCTTCTTGCTCCTTTGGATAATCATCTCTAATTGGCTTTTTTTCCTGTATTTAACTCAAACAAAACAACACCAAAGCAATATACATAGATTTTGGCATAGGGGCATCACGTTCGGGCTGAGAAAATTTCGGCGGTACATATCCTGGTGTTCCACGGGCAATTTCATCCTCTAGACCAGTTCCAAATATCTTGGTCAATCCAAAGTCGGATAATCTAGGCTCCAAATTAGAGTCGAACACTGCTAGCTTTAACATCTCTGTGGATTATCGAAGGTGAGCAACCATGATGAAGAAATGCAAGTGCTCTTGCAGTGCCAAGGGCTATTTTGTGTCGAAATGCCCACGTTGTCAACAACCCTCCGGAGCCAACATTTTGTATCCCATTGTTGTCTTCTTCCCAGGTATCAGTGCTCCAGACCTCGGTTGCTTGAACACCAAGTGGCAAGTCGTGTAACAAATTCTGCAAGTTCCCATTTTCCATGTAATCATAAATAGCAATCCTTTGATCCCCGGCCAAGCAATATCCTGTTAATGGTACAAGATTTGGGTGTTTGATTCGACCAAGATACTCAAGCTCTATTGCAGCTTCTTGGTCCGTCAACGTTGATCCATGAACCAAAACTTTAACAGCTACATGGATTCCACCAGGTAGAAATCCTCTAAAACAGGGCCAAACTTTCCTTCTGCTAGTAGAGTGTCTCGATCAAAATTTGAAGTTACAGACAAGAGGTCCACAAATGTGATATTTAACAGTGGTTTCTCAAAAATCACTACAGGGACTGATGTTGCCTGCTTAACATTGGCCACCCAAGTCGTCGAATCAGTTTGGAAGGAAAAGGGACCCGAAATATTCTGTTCCTCTTTATATGAGGGTTGCTTAACTACCCATGTCCTGGACTTCCTTCGGCAACCGAAGGCTGGGAACAGCAAGCCAGCTAGCCAGCTAGCAAGCACACCAGGGAGAAGGTTAAAGCTAAGGCAAGCGTATACCCTGTGTGTCTATTGGCTCTTCTTTTGAAAAAGACCGAATTTGCAGCAATGGGACAGCTGTTTAATGAGCCATAAAAGGATGTTTCCAGGTTCTCTGGGGAGATCCCTGAATCACAAAGGGTTAAGTTGTTGTAAGTGAAGTTGTATCTCTCCATCCCCGCACATTTTTCTAATAGAGAAACCGGAATTTCTTCACTCAAATTGTTGTACGAAACATAAAGTATTTTAAGGCTTTTATGAGCCAATGATGGAATATGGCCGTTAATGTAACCCCTCATATCGATGTGGGTGGTCCGATTCAATCATGGGTGTCACATTAAATCAATTTTAGCCGTATATAAAATATACGTTGGAATGTTTGGCCCTGATTTAACATAAAATCCTTATTTAACACAATAAGGGCCTATAGGCCTACCCAATGGTATCATTAGGTCTGTAAGGATTTACCAGCTGGATCAGTGTTGCATCTTCGTACTCTAGAATCCTATCCATATAAAAATCCAGTAGAAATCAGTTTTAGCCGTAAATCGTACTATTTGGATCGTGATCTAGTCATATGTCATAATCATGATAATGAAATAAATCGTATAACTGATCTCCACCTGTACACCATAAGTAGTCTCATGATTAACCCGAGGGAGTGCCTGGGGCCTGAGAGCCTACCCAAGGATCACCTTAGGTCCGTAAGGATTTACCAGCTTGATCAGAGCTATACCTCCATACTCCAGTCTACCCATGTAATATCCCAATAAAACAGTTCGAGTATAACCCGTGAAAACAGGAAACCATAGTTCATAAACCAATAAATTCCATGATTTCATAAATCGGGAACAATTCATATCTTTCAATGGAAACAGGTAACTAGAGAACATATATCATGTAGTCATAGTTCATAAGCCAGTAAATCAGTGATTTCAGATAATCACGTTTTAAAACCAGTAAAACATTTACATGTCACATAAGGAACACACTAGAGGATCTATATATTCTTAAGAGCTACTTGAAGATCATGAAGGTATTCATAATCTTTTTGTATCAGAGTTACTTAATATTTCAAGTATGACATTAGTGATTTAATTACTCAACAATCAGAGATATTCAGGATTATGAATTGAATTATCAGAATTTTAAGTCTAATTGAATCAAATGGGGCATTCAGAATCCTTTGCATTTACGTTACTTGTGTGATCAATTATGACTGGAGTGATTTGTGCTGATAAGGGAGAAATGAAGGTTCAGAACATTTACAATATGTTTCAATCTATTGGATAATCGAAATAACTCGAGTTGAACAACTCCTAGAACTTATGCATGTCGACCGGTCCATTCGTTGCCCTCCTAGGGTATTCACTCTTTAGTACCAAAAATTCTTGTCCATAGATCACCTTCAGAATCATCGCTGAATATGTATTAAAGAGGCAAAAAGATATTTCAATGGTCTTTATTTCATTTCCACATTGTAACAATCTCAGGAATTGACAACGTATTGACAACGTACTTTAATTCGTGGTTCATAACCCATAAGACAGTACATCATAAAAGTTCATCAACATTACCAGACTTATCCAAATCACTTACTTAATCTACAGTCATTGAGGTTACACAGATCATTTAGTAAACAAGTCTATCCCGGTCACTTTAGAGTTTTCCAGAGTAATTCGGACGTTTTTGAATTTCAGATACATATTGTACTTCCGTTCAGTTCAATTTGGCCATATAATAAAGTTATTCTTGTATTCGAGGTTGATTTGTTCATTTCAGAGTTAAGGGTATTAGTTATTTCAGGGCTTAGAGGTATTTTAGATTATTTTATACTTTAGGGGCATTTTGGTCATTTTATAGTTCATGGGTATTTCTATAATTCCAATATAGATCCGGAATTTAATTCAATGATTCCAGAGCTCAAATGTATCAAGATAAGAGTTCTCAAGTCATCTCCATAACATAAACATTTATTATGCTAAACACCTTAAGCGTATCATCGTCATTTCATTCAAATATGTCAGTGTCATACTTTCGATAATTTAGGCTTGGAT